TGAAAAGTCAAGTTGATATGCAAATGCTTCAAACTTTTCCTGTATATGCAATCAAATTGGTATGCGAATATGATTTTCCATTTTTTAAACACAAGTTCCACGGTGTTTTGTCTCTCCTCTTCATTCGTGTAGATTTTAATTAACAACGATAAGTAGTATATGACAAAAGCTTATTATCTTGATACTGTTTAATCTTCTAGCCAACTACTGTCGGAACATTACTGGATTCAGAGCCCGTTTGTTAAAATGTTAATTACCTCCACAACTTCACAAGAATTGTGAAGTAATTTTTTTTCAATTCTCTATATATAACTCCATTCAGCTCTATAATAATTAGGCCATATGACTCTCTTCACAACTTACAACTTAGCCCCACGACAAAAAAAAAAAGGGTATTTTTATACCAGAAGTTTTTTTCTATATTATTTAATGAGAAACTTAGTTATCACCTCACCTTAATATTTTAATGTTTTAAGAATGTGTTACACATTTAATAGTACATATTTTTCATGAAACATATCTTACTCAAATTTAACCCTTTTTTTTTTGTCAAAGCTGTTACACTACATCATTGTAAAATTCTTTTAAACTCTATAGCCAGTAAAAATAACATTTCTAAGGAAAAAAAACCAATCAACAAGACAATTGGTTTCTATTTTAGAACATTTCATACAATTCAATTGAAATGGAATTTAAATAATTAATATTATTTTTATTTTATAACACTATCTTTCTATCTTTCTTTTTTTTTTTTTTTGTCTAATTATACATTATAACTTTTGCATAGACTTACTTGTTAACGCGCTTGTTAATTTTCTGAAAAATATTGCTGGTACCACTGGTAATAAACACCTAAACGTATCTCTTTTTATATTTTGGTGTATTTTAAGATATATGTATATAGAAAAAAATACTATACAATATTATTACTGTATTAATTTTTAATAGTTCTTGCACTGAAACTATACTTTTATTGATGAACAACTAGAATTTACACTATCAAAACAAAAGCTACTACCTATGTTAAAATCTACAAAAGTATAGTGATAACCTAAAGGATGGGGTAGCTGTGCTTAGCTAGCTAGGTGACGCACCAAAGTTATCTTCCCAGTAGAAATGCTGAGCCCTTAGCAATCCTTGTTCAGAATATCAGAAATCATGGTCAAAGGTGGCTACATACATGTTAATATATATATGCATGATACAACATTCCACAAGTTTTCACAAATAGTTTTTAATAATAAATAAAAATATTTATATATATCCACAAAAAATCCAACACCTTTTAATTTTGATGAACATTTTAAACGATTGAAGAGTCTCTTATACCATAGTTTAACCCTTTCCATTTTAAGGAAGAGGAGGGTGTGAAACAAAAATATACATAAACACAACACGACCTAGCTATATATAATGTATGGATATTTTACGAATATTATTCTGCACAAACAGTATCAATCTTCAAAGACCTAAAAAAATCTGATTTACCTCTGATAGAAAAACATAAAGTCTTGCGTAAGTACAGTACGACACAGCCAATTAAAAGTTTAAAGTAATATTAAAAGTAGTTTTAACATAAATTTCAATACAAATTTTATAATTATTTTAATCCATGTAGTTATTGCGTTTAGAAAGAAATGAATAGTACCTAGACATGAAGTTGTACATGAGTATCCATAACATAGGAAAGGACTTACTCTAGAAAATCAAGACTTAGATCTGTCATCAAATTTGATAGATTTTGTTATAACATTAAAAAAATTAATTTAATTCACTTTTGAAAGTTAATTTATTAAAAAAATCATTTAAATTTTATAAAATATATTTTAATTTTATTCTTAACCGATTTAAACACCATACTAATTTTAATATTATTAAAATTTGGTTTCTGACTTTCTGCATTCCATATGATGATAGGAATCTCGTGCACTGAAGTACTTGTTTGAGATAAAAGATTGAAAGTCCTAAAACATCCTTTTTGTAAAGTAATAATTTTATTGTAAGAGGAAGAAATAAAAAAAAAACAAATTAAAAGGAAGAGATAAAGGAAGGAGAGAGACAGAGAGTGTGTTGTATGGTTTTGAACATTCCTTCTTTATTATTGAAGCTTTGCCAGAAGTGTTGGGGCCCAAAGTGTAGCTCCATGGGACATCTCATATGATCCACCACAAACCCCACATTTGGTTTCTTCATGCGACCAGGGAAAGCCAAGAGCACAGGACCACCACAAAACCCTTCGGTTTTTCCTATTTAAGTGCACCTATCTTCCTTCTCTTTTCATGCAATTTAATCATCTCCTCATGTTGCAACTAGATTGCACATCCTAACCCCCAAAAGAGTGATTCAGTTTCACATTAGAAAGTATAAAGAGATCAGCACATAAATGCCCTACAAAGTACACTTCAAGTTTGGCAAAGAACAAAGAGGGAACAAGCAAAAAACCAAGTTCATACATGCTGAGAAGATGAAGATAGAGACTGAGACTATTAGAGTATCCAAAAGAAGGCTAATGGGCAAAAGTATGGGTGCCCTTCTCAAAGAAGGTAGAGGAAGGTTTTATATAGTTAGAAGATGTATCATAATGCTTCTCTGCTCCCATGATTAGTGAGACTTAATTTACATAAAAAAATTTTGTTCGTATTGTATTATAGTACTTTCCTAGTATAAATTTGTAAATTACTGTCTACTAAAGAGAAGAGAAGGGAAGTTGAATAATTAATAGCTGAAACAAAACTACAAGTGATTCGTTTCCTAATTTTTCTCTTACAATTTTCTTCTACTAGCTAGTTATTATCCTAAAACCAAGTAACATGCATGTTTCAGACTTGCGGTACTGATAGGGTAAAATATCTGTTTGTTGCATAAAGAATGAGATGGAGAAGATTTATGTTACAAATGATCTTAGTTTCAATCTAAGCTAATTTACAAGCTATATATTAATCATATGTTAACTATATATCAGTTGCCATGCAGATGAAAGGAAGCATTAGGAGCAATTTACTATAGTATTTATATATATTTACCTTATCTACGACCACTAACTCTTCACAATTCCTACAACAAGGAAAAAATTCAGGCCTAATTTCAGTTCTGTTGAATTGGAGGTCGGAATTAGTAGCCATGTATATTAAACTATATTCATTTTAGATTTGGTTTAATTTCACACACACACACACATATAAATATATATTCTATAATAAATAGTTGACTCATAATAATTTTAGAGAGGAATTTTGTTCCAAAAGAATCAAGTGAAGATATGATTTTATGTCTTTCATCCTTCTAAATATTGTTGTTCTGATTGCATTACCAAAGGAAGAATGGTGTCAAGGACCATCTCACTGTCAAACCTCTTCAACGGTATAAGAGGAAACAAAATTAAAGCTTTTTGTTTGGCAAAAAAGGAGATGAGATCAAGAGGAAAGAAGATATAGAGAGAACGAGAAAGTAGAAAACTATATTTTCCCTTTTGTTGGGAGAAATTCTAGTTGCATATTCCTATTTTAATTGTGTATTCCATATTCTTCTCTCTCAAAGAAGAGATAATATAAAATTATTTGCTTTAATTTTCATCACTCGAAAAGTCTTTTCTCAACCTTTCACTCACATACAAAAAGTGGAAATGATTAAGACTTATGTTACAGCCGGCTATATTTTTAGAGCAGAATTATGAAACATGTGAAATGTTGTAAGAATTCAGTGGATATGCATAGTAGTAAGAAACTAAGCAGTTACAACGTCACTATTGAAAGGCCAGAAGGATGGGACTTTTTGTATATTTTTTGTTTTTGGTCAGTGATGGGACTTTTGTCTTGACATTGCAGTGTGATCTTTGCACTATCTTTCTACAAAGAGAACCCAAAAAAGGAAAAGATAGATATTGAAAAAACAGAAGATAAATAGATGGCATATAAAAGCAGTAAGATATTGGCGTATGGGATTTCTTAGTTTTCCTCCCTTAGGAATTTCATTTATTAGACATCCGAAACCACGTTTTTTACTCAAAAAGAAAAGGAAGGGAAAGAAACATCGTTACTTATACTGGTACTGTGCTGTGCATTGGAGACAAACAGTGTTTCTCTTCTCTACAATACTGTTTAAGAATCTTAGAGTTTCACCGTACAGAACATGGCTAGCTAAGTACTGTCTACGATCAACCTATTTACGATGTGTCAACATTACATAACACTAAAAGTCAATGAAATTATAATCACGTTAGGTTGAATTATTTTAGATAAATTATTATCTACTTTTGTTTTAAAATAATATATTTCTTGAACATTAGTAAGTCAATACAGTGAACAATTTAATTGGTTCAAGTTGATTTTTTTAAAAAATTATATATTTATGTGTACAGTTCACGTACAACCATGCTAAAATTTTTGTGAATACACCTAAAACTTGAAAGATTAGAACATGTTTTAAGCAAGCATCTAAAAATTTATGATATATTTCATGACCCTAAGTATCAGGTTTCTTTTTGTTAGATCATTAATGGACCCTATGTCTGAGAAATGGGGAGAGGGTGTACCAGACAGAATTTCAAATCAATATGATTAAATTATATTATATAAAATGGTTATTGTTTTGACCTATAAATTTGATTTTCTTTTGTCGAAATTATAATTGTTTTGTCGAATAAATATATAAATTGGTTAAGTGCGTAAAATGGATCAATGCGCCATATGCAGCCCACTTGCTTAGGCCCAATTGACAAATATACAGTTTATCCCCAAGTGAACTGTGGTCCTTCATCAATCCAAAAAACAAAAAGAAATATGGTCCTTCGGACCAAAAAAGCGTTGACCGAAAAGAAATAATGGTCGAAATAATCGCAGCACAACACATGCCAGGTAAACAGTTAGACCATTCTCAAGACACAAACTCTGTTTCTATTTGATATTCACCAAGGAGAAACTAGCAAAGTATGAATTTTACGAATATAATGTGTTATTTTCCATTTTGCAAGCAGGTTCATGCTCGTTGAGACGCTACTAGCTCCTAGTTCTAAACCTTTTCATTACATAACAATTCACTAGCAGGCGCTAACTTAAAACAGAATCCTAATTCTTCATATTGAATTTTCTTGGTGTCTCATATAATCATATCATATCATATCATATCCAATATAGCTGACACACTGAGAATTTTAAGGTGGATGATTCAGAAGCCGTCATGACATATCTAAAGCTTAATTTCCTCACTAGGATAATTGTGACTCGCCTCCCTGCCGAAAGAAACTCGCATAAACAGTGAAGTAAGCTATAACTTCCTTAATAAAAAAATTTGGCAATGCATGATGCAGAGAATACCACCTTAGCCTTGAGCTTTGATTTCATATAAATGAAGAGAGTCAACTATCATGTATGAAATGTTACATTGTTAATCCACATATCCAGTTTACAGAATGACTGTACTCATCCATAAAAGTATAAAAAATACCCATTGGGATATCCGTATAGAATTTATTTCTCTTTGCTTGATGGCCTCTGGTCAGTAAATAGAAGAGGCCCATGAAGAAGTATAACAGACTACCAAGGCTAGCTACAAGTGTTTAAGCATTATTACAATAAAATTGTTCCTTCTTCACTGACTTTCGTCTAAGGTACCCACAAGGCATTTCTCCAATAAGAATTCAGCATTAACCCAAGCATGGTATTTATCTGATGCAAGGATTAAGGAAAAGCCGAAAGTAGTCCTAAAAATCAGAAACTCTGTGCATTATGGGGAAAAGATGAACATGGTGAGTGAACCTAAGCTACAACTTGAATCATAGGCATATATGGCATGGGCATGAACAAACAAACATGAATAATCAATGTAAAATAGGAATAGCCAACATATTCCTCTTCGCATGTACTTGGCAACTTATTTAGAACTTACTAAAGTATGATATATACGAAAACATTTAAAACCCCCATGCTGGTTATGATATGTCAAGCATAAAATCTTGAATTATTTTGTACACTATCTTAGTATTCAAATATCTTATCGGTTTTTTTTAACATCAATCATTAGGATTATTTTTAAGCATCTAAAATCAATACACTTTTATTAAAAAAGAAAACATTTATTACATTGAAAACGTAAAAGTACAGTGAATGCTTTAATTCCCAATAAAAACTTATAATTTTAATATGCTCACAACTAGCCGAACATTTTCCATATCTTATAAATGGGATTCTAAGCATTTTAGCAATTAAGATGTCAGCTGAGGCTGACCAAACACCTTGAAGTAGGTAGATTTATTTCTAGAAAGGGAAGTTACGAAAGCTCCAACCCCACATAATATAACATTGAGACATAACTCCAATTCCTCAGATAGAATATAGCTGAGAAAACATGTTAGAAAACTACAAAATTGCCCTCAAACTTGATATTTCTCATGTCCAATGCAATTCATACACGGAGAACTGTTCACAGAGAAAGTCGACATCTGCATGAGAGAAGAAAGTAAAAGCAATCCATTTATAACATTAAATTAATAGAGACAGAAGAATGATGCACGCTCACAAAATTAAATCATTCAAAAATCACAAAAAGGATACTGAATAGAGATGTGCAATCTTTTCCCACTGCCTTCATCAACATATCAACACCTGGGAATTTGTGACAATATAATTGTCTGTTAGTATCATTTTTATAAGCATATAACATTAATAAACCAGAAATAAGAATTATAAAAGCTATATATGAACTTGCAGATTGAGCTAATAGCAGTACCTCCAGGGTGAAACTTCATATATGGAGATATATTGTAGACACGGCCTTTTAATACAGTCCACATTTGGCCCTCTGCCTGGTGTTTTCTAACTTCATCCAAAGAAATAAGTCTTCTGTTTGACTGTCCTTTCAAACCTGGAACAAGATGGATAAAGATTGATACATTGCATCAACTCTTATTCTTAAAAGATGTAATGATAAACAAGTAAAGAACTTATTTATAAGTTTACATAAACAAGTGGTCACCAAAACCTCAATGAAAAAATTCTAATTGCCAATGGAATCTTTTACAAATTACATGACAAAAACATCTTGGAGTGCCAAGTAACCTCTTATATATGCATATACATGCAATTAGCTACTCAGCTAGTTGTGGGACAGACAACAGAGTTTAATATAATAAGGAATTACTACCACACTGAAATTTGAAATGGAAATAACTTCAGTAGAGAAGGGGTGGAGAGAATATCATCAACAAAGGACCAATGGGTAGAGCAAAATTATTACAAAATATATAACAGATTGCTTTAGCCAAGGCATTGCCATTGCCTATCAACTTCAGCAATGTTACTACAAGGATGGGGAATTGGGACTGCAAGTGTAGGAAAAAGTTGACAGCAAACTACATGAAGCTTATTTTCAAGTTTCAACCTTAAAAATCAACCATTAGTTGTTAAATCTCTCATGTATTCTTTGTCTTCAGAAGAGCTTTCCGAAAAAGGGGGTCAACAGAATGACTGCATAGTAAAAATTTTCATCATTCTCACCTGCAAGATCAGGATGTGACCGGGTAAGCTTGAGCCAGTCCATTTGACTATAGCCTTTCTCAAAAGGAACTTTGGCCCGCACCGGTGGCTTTTTATTGGGATTCTTCTGTTCTGGCAACTCCATGGGCAAATTGTTAGCACCACTTGGTACTGACTTTGCGGTCAAGTCACTCGGCTGATTTGAAGCTGTGTTAATCACACTGAAAGACAGAGAACCAACCGTAGCCTCCTTCTTAGAGTTGGAATTATTCGGTAAACCATCCTTCCACAAGAAACCACTACTATGACTAGTACTACTTGCCCTTGAGGATTCTTCTTCTATGGAAATATCAGCAATATCTGAAACAAGCTTGTTTGTTTCAACACCATCCCTATCAAGAGGTGGACCGACCTATATTACATCCATGGCATCAAATTAGAAGGATACATCATACAAGAGATGCATGCTCATAAACTCAAAAATTGTTGCACTGCAAAGCGTAAATCGCCAAATCAACATAAATATCAACAAACAAAGGAAAATGGCACTGATGTTTCTTACTTGACAAAATGTGAAATCATTATCAGTATCCATTGTAGAGTGTAGATAAGATTATGATACAGCAGGTGGAATTGAATTCTGAAATAAATAAGAAAAATCAAGCATAAGCATCCAATTCTAGGTATTGATTATTCCTATCTTCTTCCTGTCAATTTATGCTACTACCCTCACTGCCCCTTGAATTTTATGCAAATATGAAATTAAATAATTACACAGAACAAAATTAAACAATTCATGAATTGAGTTGCGCACACCAATCTTACAATTTTCCGCAGGGGAGAAGAAGCAAACAGATTGAAGCACGCACCCCCGTCGTCCCGTTCAACCAACAACCATGCAAGAGCAATTACTAGTTTCAGAATGGGCCTCCTGTGGGCCACATCCACAAGTCCAAACATAAAAAGCCCACATATAAATCAAGTTTCCTAGTCCATCGATTATAGCTCACTAAATGGATATAAGTTCTCTAGTTTTAAACTTTAAAAAAATTTTGACAAAAGAAAAAACATTAAGAATGACCAAAAACAAAAACTTTTTATATTTGGATGATGAATTTTACAATTCTTGAGAAATATGAAATTAATGATAAGGGATTATTTAAGTAAAAGTAAAATATAAGAGAAGTTATAACTTATAAATGATAATTACAAAAAATTAAGTGCAGAAGAAAAGTTTTTGATTATTTTAAAAAAATATCATTTGAAATTTTTTTATTTGATATAAAAATTATTTAAATAAAATTATAAAATATTTTATTATCTAAATATATGTAATTTAGTAATTTAGAATTGCTCAAAATTTTATCAACCAAAACAAAAACACTTTTAAGAATTTCTTGAGCCCTAAGTCGTTGGACGTCCGTTTCTCTTTTAATGGATCGGTGGATCTTAACAGTTATTTTTTAACATTACATATGTTATAAATTTTAAATTTTTCTATAAATTCTTAAAATTATTTTATTTTTTATTCTTCTTCTTACTTTTACATTATTGTAAATAAATTTTTAAATTAAATTACTAATATCAAATTATTGTAATAGGATAATAATGTACTATTTTTTTAACTTTAAAATTTTATTGTTTTTATATTTTTTATTTATGTGTTTATTTCGTCATACTTTGTACCAATAGATAATGTCAAGTAGAAAGTATAAACTTAGTTTTAAAAAATAAAAAATAAAATATTTAAAAAAATAATTCAACGTAAAATATAGTGTTCAAAATAAATTTGTGAAGATTTATAAACTTCATAACAAGAAGTGAAATTTGGTAAACAAATAATACAAAATATTGTTAAATTTTATTTCAATCAAGAATAATTTATGAAATGCATTGTTTATAAAATATTATTAACAATACTAATTAAATGTTAATTAAGATTCGCTATGTAGTAATAGACATGTAAAACTCAAACTTAATTAAGGTAAAAAGAATGCATACTATATTAGAGATTCTTAAAATCTACTAAAGTTTGGGTTATATGCCTCTGTCATTAGTTTGATTGTGTTCTTCTAGTTTTATAAGTTTGTTTTGGAGAAGAGAGAAGTTGTCTCCGTTCAAGCTTTTAAGAGATCTACACTAAGGACATCCAATATCTTCATACATATTTGTTTTGTATAAATTGAAAATGATTATTGGTTGTCCGTATTGTTGTCAAAGAGAGTCTGTTTATCTCTCACTTTGCTACAATGTTTTTACCCTTCCTTATGTTCTCTCATTTTTGTTTGTTCTTTAAAATCTTACTTTGTTGTTAGTTAAATAATTTGTGAGATGCAAGAAACTTATTTGGTTGCTTTTCTTTTTGAACTTTTGATTTATTTGCATGCTATAATGTTCATTTAGAGGACATCTTTTATTTAGTGCAATGTTTAGATGGTTGTATGGTACTCTTGCAACCCGCACACATTAATCTTAAATTTGCCTTAACCACTTAACTTTGAGAAAGGAAAAATTAGCTAAAATGGACAATTGCCTACCTTAGTGTAAAAGTACTTTTTTGGATAGTTTTGGGACTGCATTGCAAAGCCCCATCATTCACGGTTTTGGTCCTACAAATTCATCAGTAAAACTTTCCAAAAAGTCCAACTTTCTTTGCTGAATTCATATTTGCATTTAATGGTTAATGGCTTAGAAAACATGGGACAACATGTGTATTTTTAGCCATAATTCTTTTGCGCCAAATCACATCACCTCCTTCCTACCCAATCAAAATGCATACAAGTTGATTTATTAAAATCCCACTCCATTTTGCAGCAAGATTGCATGTGATGTTGGCCTTGAAATGTTCTAAATCTTCCTTTGCAGGCTGGCAAAATGACATGTCAAAAAGCCATCAAAATTCCTTGGAAATTGTACTACATCAACTTGTTTTATCCAGCCTCCGTAAGGTTATTTCATCACACCCTCACCTAATAAATTTTCATGCAAACCTGCACTAAAATCATCTTTAGATTCTGGTGTATACACCTCGATTTTTAGGAGCAAGGGAGTTGAATTCTACTCTTAGCCATTTGTAAAATATCCTAAGGCATTTGGAAGCAAAACATTTCCCTTCATTTGCAAGATAAAAACTGAAAACAACGCCCTCCATTTAAGAGACTCCCTTGCATTTTCATATCATAATTACCTAGTATTTCCTCTTCCAAATTTAGTTCTTACTTGTTTCCCCCTCAATATTAAGAAGCAACCTCATTTAGAGAAAGATCAAAGACTCACACTTGTTATTTTTCTCACGATCCAATAATTTGATTGTGTTCCAACACCTTGTTTTCTTCTCAAACTCCTTCATTTTTAAAGAAAATTCAAGGCAAGGGGGGAGTCTTCACTTTTTTTTCTTAGAATGTTTTCAATATAACCGTGCACATGTAGATTTAGAGCTCATTTCTTGCATGTTTAATTACCACTTCACAAGGCCACAATTAACTGAGCTTCACAAATTTCAAAGAGTGTTTGGAATTAAACTTGGTAAATATTAAAATCAGAAGAAAAACAGAGTAATGAACAAGTAATTGTGTGAAAACAAATGTAGAAACCATAGCTAGGGAGTTGTTTCACCAAAACTTCAATGTTGAATCAATAAGGTTCTGAACTTTCAAGTAATTGGAAAGAATGACAATCAGTTTCACATTGTATTATTTAGAGGTTAATTCCTTAACTCAGTGAACCTAACATTCAATCAAATCATTCTAATTCCTTAGATCTGATTCAATTAAATGTTGCATTAGGTGTTAGAAACCAGAAGATTGCAAAATCAAGTTATCTTATCCCTACGACATCTATAATCCTGGTAATTGATTCAGATATGAAGAACAAATTCAATTTTCATTGACAAGAGTTCCTCTGTAATTAGTTAATCAAATTTCCATTCAATCACTATGTAAAGTACAGAATCAATTACTCAATTCATTCAAAAACTCAAAAGTCATATCTAAAATCAATTCAACACGTTCGTTTTGGGTCCACAATCCCTAACTATGAAGAAATTACACAGCCATTACAGCAGAGAAAGAAAAAGAAAGAGAAGAAGAGAAAGAACGCAGAAGAAGCATCTTTAACCAATTTTTAATCTGATTCCTCTAGGTTGAAGCTTGGTGTTCATCCCCAATCTATCTCTCAGAATCTCTCCATACCAAGGAACAAGGTGAGAACAAAAAATGAACAAAAGATCCTAAAATCTGAACGTTTCTGCAATTTATAGATTTTTCTGTCTCTACGTGTTATCACTTTGCTTCATAAGAGTAGTCACGCAAAGGCTTATATAGTGTTCTGGAAGACTGGAACGATCACTTTCATTCATAAAAGTAGCAATGCTGGAGGTTAAGTTGTGCGCGTGTTCACTTTCATGAGTAAAAGTGACCACGCGCAAGTTGCCACGCTGAGGTCTCTCTGAAATATTCACTTTTGTTAGTAAGAGTGGTAACGCGCTTCTCGCTATGTATGGAGCTTCTCTGGAACATCCACTTTCACCAGTAAGAGTGGTAACGCGCTTTTTGTTGTGAATGGGTTCCTCTGGAATGCTCACTTTCGCCAGCGAAAGTGACAACGTGCTACTTACTAAGTTTGAAGCCCCTTTAGAACGCTCACTTTTGCCAACAAAATTGATATAACGCATAGACTCCACTTCATTTCCACGCTCTGGAACGCTCACTTTCGCCAGTGAAAGTGAACACGCCCAGTTTACATTCCATTAAACCTTGTTCTTTGAGTTCAGACTTGCTACTTTTCTTCTTTCTTTCCATTGATCTTCCATTTTCATGAACTTTGCTAAGAATTTTCTACAAAAACATGCTTGAATTATTAATTTCTATGCAGAAACTATACAAATGCTAAAATAACTATGTATTTAAAGAAAACCTTCAATCATTCTATTTTTATGAGTTCTTCTGCTTTTTCCAACATATTTTTCTTATCAAATGGATTAAAACTATAGTAAAATACTAGTAAAAATATGGATTCATCAAAGTTTACACTTAATCAAGAAAGTTTGAGGATAGGTAATATACTATGACATAAGGAAACTTAACAAGTTATAAATAAGTTTTAGAATAAATGGAAGAAGAAAAATAAAAGTGTTGTATAGAAAGAAGTAGATAATAACTAGCTGAAAGACAATATGATTAGGAGAATCAAGTAATGTGTTAACTAAACTAAAAAAGAATGAACTTTGAATATTATTAGATGCGTGCTAAAATTTAGGAGAGGAGAGTGATGAATGAAGGGTGATTATTGATGAACGAAATATTTTCTCATTTGCGAAAAGATTTGTCGTTAACCTTCATCAAAATTTGCAGAAAAATTTATGTAATCTAGGGTGCGAATCTAGGTTGTCTCCAAAAACTTTAGTTTGTAACATACATTGAACATGTTGTGAACATTTACTATGAAAGCAATTAAAACAAGGGGGTTTTGTGTAATTCCAATTTTAATGTAAAGGCAAGTGATGAAATTAATGAATCCAATCAATGAAACATGCAATCCTTAGTTTGTTCATGCAATTCTATCCTTATTCCTCTCAAGATTCAATACTTTTCCTCTTCCTCTGAATTAGGGTAACTCAAAAAGCATGAATTAACCTTAGATTCTCATACGAATTAAACAATTTATATGGGCTCCAATCTCTCATCCCCAAGATAACGCTACCTTAGGAATTAACTTAGGATTAAGCAAACTAAGTTACAAATTTCATTAAAACGAATTAGGGTTAATTAAGCAATGTCCCCCTCATTCAAACATTAAATCAATTCAAAGAGTTGGGGAAAATAAATTCATGAAGGAAAAAGAATTATATTGACATTCATACCCAGGAATTCAATACATGAAC